GAAAATCAAATTACTGGAAAGCCGCTAAGACTTCTGTTTCAGGAGAGTGTTTTTTTTCGATTCAAGGAAGCTCATAGTGGCATTTGACAACGCCTCTAGAGTCAAACATACCGTAATCGCACCCTTATCAGGTACGCAGAGCAGTCGTAGATCACCACTGATCACATCGATCGATAAGCATCGTATATCTTTATCGAATCTATAGTAGACAACTCCATTCACGCCTTCATCTGCATCAGTTGCTTGTACTTTCCCGATCGTCTGGTTGACCTAGAAAACGGTCATTGGTGAGTTGGTTGGATTACTGTAGCGCGGCTGATGTGATTCGTCAGTTTTCAATGCGCAGGTACGGCAGTGCGTTCGCTTACCTGCGATCTATTCACAATGAATACATATCGAACTTCCTCGAAGACAGGAGCATTGTCATTGACATCAAGAACATTGATAGCTGCTCCCGTTTGTACTGCCCATGTACCATCGCTCACACGTACACGAAGCCGATAAGAGGCTTCCTGCAAATGCAGCGTTGTCAAAAATCAATAAATCGATTTTCCAGACCAAAATCTACCTTTTCTCGATCGAGTCTTCTTCTCAGACTGATCTGCCCAGTGTATTTGTCAATCGTGAATGGCGTCAGGTCCTCATCATCGATAGAAAAGGTGTGATTGACAGATTCATCGGGATCGTTTGCAGAGATTAGGAGTATTGGAGCGCCAATCTATAATAATCATAAGTGAATTCAATCGATATATCGATTAGATAGTTGTAGGCTAAAGTTTACCTCCAGGTCTTCCTTCACTTCAGCGTGGAAAAGATGAGAAAACTTTGGAGCATTGTCATCTTCATCCAGAACTTTGACCTAAAATCAATCGATGTATTGATTTTTTGCGTGTGTTGTCTTTTTTACCTTCACTATAGCCTCAGCTCTCAATGGTGGTTTTCCATGGTCTGTAGCCGTTACAACCAAATTGTACTCCGACACAGCCTCTCGATCCAGGCTACGCGTATTCTGAATACATCCCGAAGACGAATCGATAGTGAATGCCCCGCCAGAATTTCCTAAGAAAATTG